AGTCATTTAAGATAACCTTCCGCGAATATTTCCAAAAGCGTTGACGATTCTGAAAAATCTTTCAGATAAAGTGGATTGATGTCGAGGGGGAAATACATAGTTTGATACGAGTAGTATTTTTGTAACTGGACACGTAGAGGACATATGAAGGTCAAATTTGTTTTTCTAAATGGAATCATATATTTTTTAACACAGTGAATGTTGCTCATCGTTTCTTATAAAAAAATGTGAAACCGTTTATGCCGCAAAAATTGAGGAGATATTTCAATTTTAAAATTGCAAAATGGCACTAGTAATACTATGTTTACCTTCTCACAATTGATGTTCAAAGATTTGCACGATTTCTAAACGACTCATCAACCCTTTCTTACATTCCATTCATGCAAGCATAAGATGTTAGATGTCCTGCGTATGGGCAATACCGAAATTCATCATCACAATATTGAATTGAAAATATCTCACCAATCCAATGATTTTTTTTGCATAAATTATTTTATATGTTTTTTTTTATAGGGAACGACGAGCTGCATTGACTAATGTATCAAAAAGCATATGGTTCTGTTAAAAAAAAAACAAATTTGACCTTCATATGTCATGTACGCATCCACCTACAAAGAAAACTATTCGCATGAAATTATTTTGCCCACGAAACTGTTCAATTTTTATCTGAAACATTTTTCGGTATCATCAACGGTTTTGAAGATATTCGAAGAATTGATTCAAATGACTCACTCTCTATTAATCATGTCTAGAAACATTTGCAGTAAAAGAGTCTTAAAAAAGTAAAACAGAAGTGCAGAAACAGGAAAAAGCATGAACAATATAACTGTGTCTAACGTGACACATGTACTGATTAGCACTATCTTGAGAACTCTTGATTCATTGGCATTTCTTTGTTTAATTTCATCAATTACTGATTACTGCTGTTTTATTAGTTAATCACAGTAGGTATTAATAGGATTTCTTACTTAAGCTTCAATTGTTTCTGGTACGAATTCTTGAAAATTCGCGTCCCTGACCACTTACTTTATACAGTTACTCACGGAAGTATTCACCCAATCCATCCATTTGTCATATAATATATATTTAATTTATATTAAAGTTAAAATTAACAAATATAATTTATGCTATTACAAACCTTGATTAATATTATATTATCCTTTATGTTCGAACACATTCAACTTAAAAATTATAACACAGTTTATTCAAGAAAGTATTGTTATTTCTGAAAGTAGCAGAAGAAAGTGCACGCCGAATTTCACAAAAAAGTTTATTTGATCTATATGCATAAAAGATTAAACATATGTATAGTAAAATCACGTGACTATTTGATCATTTTTAAATTTCTCGTAAATAAGTTTGTCTAACCTAAATAGTAACTTTGCACAATCTCTTAAGTCAATGTATCCTAATCTGAAGTATATTAATGAAGTTTGATACTGATTGTCATTAGAACTTTAACATTGATTAATTATGTAAAATATGTTATACGTATGAGGTGATACGATACTTTGTGAATATCTATAATACAATTGAGCCGATACTGTTCGAGGAAGAACATTTACAATATTATATATGCAATATGTATATATAATTGACAAACGTGGACCTTTATGCAAATATTTTACTATAACTGTTTTTTGGACTAATTTCTAGAAACTGGAACGAAATCAAAATTTGTTTATCCTACCGTAGGCGAATGAAACAGCTGCTTAATCTTTGATAATAATTTTATTATTACAACCACAATCTCTTTCACACGATCTAACACAAGCACCTCGTCGATGAATATATTCTTTTTATGCCTGGAGAAGTTTTTTTTTTAAGTTGTGGCTTATGTTATTTTCTTCTCGTAATGTCGAATATTTACTGCAGTGTATAATTAAATGGTTGACAGTTATTTGAACGTTACATTTGGCTCAGATTAGAGAACTGTTTATTATTCAAGAGTAAATGAGAATGGGTTATTTTTGGATGTGCAATTTTGATTTGAGAAATCGTAATTTGTTCTTTTCTTGTTAGGCTTAGTGGTGTATATTAGATTACTAGGGTGGCTCTTATTTGCAAACTTCTGAATTTTTTACTCGGTCCTTAAAATAGTTCTAATTACTAAAAACATAATCTGTGTGACGTTTGAGCTAGATTAGGTAAGAGGAAAAGGAGACCCTGGACCCTTAATCATTTAAATAATTTTTACAATTTTCCCCAGGTAGTTTTTAAATTTTTCTTGAAAACCGTTCATCGCACGAAAACATGTAGTAGAGTATAAAAAATGCTTCTTGTCTAGATTTACATCTTTTGTCTGATGCATTGTGTTGATACAATCAATAACTTATAGGATAATCGAATAAAGTTTACTTCGAGTGCGTTTAAGAAATTACTTAAATGTTTAAGGGACCAGGGATTTCTTTTCCTCTTATCCGATCGAGCTCAAACTTCACACACATTATTTTTTTTACTATTTGGAACTATTTTAGTGGCCGCCACGAAAAAAATGCTAAAAAAAATTTTCATCGGGAGTAGATACATAGGAGCTAACTTAATGTATACCTCTTAGTTATGAAAATGCTGTTTATTATCTGAATATGTGGTGGTATTGCATTTTTTCATTCTGTTTCCTTTATCGTTTTTAGTTTCCTTAAAGGAGCATTCGTATAGATCGGTCAAAGATGTGGAAGTTTATGCGTTAATAAAATGTTGTATAATGTTGTTAGCCCCTTTCACTGCTATGTCTGCTATTTTATTTACAGTTATTCCTTTTCTGCTTTATAGATATTTTCGTATTATAAATATTGAAACAACAATGATTTTTTTCGTTTCGATTATACGGAGCACAAAAGTCATAGCTGGTGTCTACACTCTGCGACAAAATGATAGGACACACTTAAAGTGTTTCCAAACAGATATCCTGTAGATACACGCCTCCATAAAAGCTACCTCTTTTGTATTGTGAAGAAAAGTTTACTCTTTATTGTAAGGAAGATGTACCTTCTATAACATGGAACTGGCACGACACTTGGCAGGACGAGCTCGCAAAAGTTATTCCGAAGGTTTATTCGAAGCCTTTGAATAAAAGATACAGATAAAAGATAAAAGTTTTATTTCAATTTAGAAAAATTTTGCCCAACTCGGTCTTAAAGATTCAGGGATGTTCTATCATTTTGTGGCGGAGTGTAAGCTTCTTCGCGAGGCACTATACTGTTTGGAGTTTCTGTCTTACACACGAATAGCAACGTAAGCACATAAGCATACCTACTTCCATTTATACATCCATCTAGAGTTGGGCAGAATTTTATTCGAATAATACATAGTGAAAAACAGCAGTATCTAAGGTCATCATCCAGAACTCTGGACAGTTAATCTATTTTAGAGTCTAAAAATGAAAGCTACTCTTTGGTAATTTTTTTGCGAAAATGATACAGTAATTGGGAAATCTATTAAAATACATTTATCGTATATATCTTCAGATACGCGAAGGAATTTTTTTCTTTTTTTACAACAATTGGCGACGCTGAAGCTGATCAACATTTGGCTGTTTTAAGAGGTCTTGCCACTGTAAAGCTCTGAAAAATTGACACTTTTTGTGAATTTTTTTATCAGTGATCGAAATGTTCAACGTAAATGAAGTAATATCCATTTATACATTTTTAAATAATAAATCAATTTATAAATAGACAACACTTCATTTATGTTGGACATTTGTTCGTTCACTGAAAAAAGATTTTCAAACAATGACAATTTTTCGGGGCTTCACAGTAACAAGACCCCTTAACTGAGCATTTAGTCGACGTGTAGAATAACTTGAAAACAGTTTAACCTGGAACGAAAAGTGAAACGTTTTCACTTTCTACATGAAATTTACTAAAGAAATACGTACGGATTCATAGAAATATGATATTTTGTGCAAATGGTCGATATTTGATGAAGTATCATTTGTAACCGAAAATTTTTACATAAAAATATCCATAACAAAGAATGTTTTTAACGTATCGCAAATCCCCTGCGTATTTCTTTAGTAAATTTTATGTTGAAAATAAAGTTTTTCCATTTTTGTTCTAGGTCAAATCGTTTTTCAAGTTATCCTGCACACCGATAAACTTACTTAACACTCGGCGTCACCATTATGTTCTAAAAAAAATGATTTCGCGTACCCGAAGGTATGTGCAATGGTTGTCTTTTAATAGATTTTCGATTTACTTCATGATTTTCGCAAAAAAAAATTCCCAAAATACAGCTTTTATTTTTGGGCTCCGAAGTGGATTGATCCCTGAAATAGATTAAATAATAGAAGAAATATCATTTCACTATGAAACTTGGAATTTCTACGTTTAATCGATTAAAAATGACGCAACGTTGTCTTCTATCTTTCGTATCTACGCCCTCGTCACAATTCACATTCTCCTACGAAAGCGATCCAGCGTCCGATGACCGAATGTAACACAACGACCATGTAAGAATTTATACGATTAAGACAGCCAGATAGGACTGAACATTCGATCAAGAGCAATCATAGGTGAAACTACATTTGGGCGGAGTCCCACCACGTTCCCCGTATCACGTTCCTACATTATTACCTATATGTATACCCCGTCGATCCAGTTTTCTCTTATCCGTCTTTATCATACGCTATTACGCGTCTTCACAATAATGATTCCGCCTCCTTCGAGTTTCGTCAAGCGTTGTCAGTCTTAGGCTACTGCGCAAACGTCGTCGCTGATAACGGGGCAACGAGATTCGTTGGTATTGTGCTGATTGTGTATATTCACAGTGATTCTGTTGGTGTTGTTGTGGAAATCTTCGTTGCATTAGTTTCACAGTTCTGCCGGGATCATCCCCGACGAAAGGTGTACCGGAAGTGGTGTGTGATCGTTGTTGGACCGTCGTGGATCCAGGGAGCTTGGCAGTAGCTCTACGTGGATCGAGCCAGCAGAACCGGAAAGATCACGTGTGAAACGGATGAGAGTGTCGTGACCTGAAGAGAATCGAAAAGCCACGTGGATATGGCCACCGTTCTAGCCACGTTTTCGGTCCTGAAGGACCATGTCAAGTTGAAGGTTACCCAGGAAGCCGTGGCCATTGACAATATCGGTAATGAAAACTATCTGCACGTCGGTCACGGTTAACGGTGCTCGGTTGCTTCGTGGGAAAGTTATGTCGCTTCTCTGTAGCGTGACACACGTGTAGAGGCGTTTCCTAATACATATGTGGGAAGTGTTTGCGGTGGGTGGATCGAGGACATATACATTTTCATATACAGCGAATACAATTCGAAAGTTCGTAACCCGATTTTCTGAACTAACGGGGAAATTGTGTCCTGTTAACTGGTTTTCGTGGTCCAACAGAACTAAAGTTGAAAATTATACAGGGTGCGACATTTAAATGGGAACACCTAAATACAGTAAACTCTCGATAACTGCTCGGAGAGATTTGTACGTTACATACTTCTGCTTTAGGTCCATTACTCGGGGGTTCCTCTGTGGAGCAGTGCCATCACTATTAGTACTTTCGTACTAGATCTAGTACTTTTTACAAATTTTTAGTGTTCTAGTACGTTCACCAACAGATTAAGTACCTACTTCCTTCCGAATAATAATAACAACAACGACAATAACACGACAGTTAGACATATAATTACTCTAATATACTCTACGTCACATTCGGTAAAACAAGTGTGATTTCTCTTTTTTCAATCCCTAATGCCATACTCACTAAATGCGAGTAGCATTAGCCTATGAAAAAACGATATATTCTTCGGTACTTAAACACTTCTCACGCGTTTTAAGATCATTACAACAATGAGTACAATTGGAGGAATTAAATATTTTAATATAAATAATCACTTTTTAATGCTGCACAGCGTAATTTGGACCCCATTCTGTAAAGATTTTGCTTTACATTTAAAACTTAGAACACAACAGTGGAATTGTCGGGATATTTAAACGGTTAGATGTTTGAATAATAAGGTAGTGATATCGTGAATTGTCTTTTATACAGTGAAACGCAAGCAAATAGATATTTAGTTCTTTTTCTCAAAATTCGTACCTTTTTTCTGCATAAGCTAGTACTTTGCTGAGTGGGCACACTGCACTAGAGACTCCGCCCGAAATGCAGTTGATGAATTGACACAAGTCCCGAGTTTCGAGCGTTAAGCCAAGATTTACTGCATCATGGAACAAATTCTCAGGACAAACTTACATGAAAGAATTTTTTCTCGAGGACCTTTTTTTTACGAGATTTCAGGGTCACCGATATTTTTCTTTCCGAAGAACCCTATATTTTTTTCGATATCCTGGTAGATCATAAAACAAGAAACTCAATGACTTTCATAACTATATTGTTTCGATTACTTAATCTCGAGCGATTTACATTAATATTTGCTAAACGTTATCACTTGATCTAACGTTATGACTTTGAAATCTCGTAAAAAAACTAACCTTGATAAAAAATTCTTTTCATCGTTCAATGTGTCCCTTGAAATAGTGTAACTTTGTTCTGAGAGTTTTTTTTCCATAAAAGCATAAGTAACGGAGATATCACACCTCACGCGCCTGTTTCTCCTTCCAACCTTTCCTTTGCACCGTGTTCCTTCGTAGAAATAAAGAAACTCAGACTCTGGTCTCTGTCACTCCATGGTAACGGTGGACGGTGGTGGGAACAAGTTTTAGCTCACGGGAGCTAACTTTGCCCACCGCTGCTTTAAGAAATGAAACTGACATTAATGCATAATTTTTGTATTAACTGACCAAAAACATAAGTTTTTATTTGTATTTATTATTATTTAATATATTCAATTGAAGGAAAAATTTGTTGTAACGTTTTGAACCTCTACTTCTATTTATAAATTCATTAGTTTCAAAAATATATCTCGAAAGTTACTGCTGTCACCCGTAAAACGTGTTCGATCGAATTACTGACATCCTACCTAATCAAATACTGTCACTTCATATACCTACTTAAATACCGTCACTTTTTTAGTTTAGGTTGCACGTGACTGCAGACCGTATTGGTGACATTAATAGCGTAAGGCTTTGTTTTCGTAAGCAATTACTGACATGACAGTAATTAAAAAATGATTTGACCGTTTGTACCAATTATTGTCACCCAAATATTAAACTAAAAGACTTAACGAATCGTTAAATTATGTTCTATGATCCTTATATTATCTAAAACATTACATTTTATTATGTTACTAGCTCAAATATTACAATTATACTCTTTTCTTTAGTACCTTGTTTTCCCTTTCGTTAGTAAGGAGTCGTTATTTTCACTCTTCCAATCAACTAAAAAATTTTGATCATTTTAGAAAAATTAATGGGTAAAGGAAAATAAGTGCTGCTTTTCCTATCGCACAATTTTCTTTATATATAACTTTACAACGTTCATTTGTTATTTTAAGTAGAACAGTATAGGATGACAGTAATTGGGTAGGTAGTAGTAATAATGGGTCTTTTACTCTAGATGTTGTCATTTAAATACCGTACTATGTATGTGCAGGGTGTTTTGTATAATTGGAAACGGGGAAATATCTCACGAGAGATTGAAGTTATCAAAGAATTGTTCCTAGAAAAGTTATTTGGTATAATAGGGAGAATTATAGATTATAAATAATTTTTCTGTGCGCCTAGTAGGGGGGGGGGGGGGGATACCAACTACTGATAATCTGGCGACGCTCATGTTGTTGTTACTATGTGGAGATACAATCAATAAGAAAAAAAACATTCAAAATTTCGGAATTAGGACATAAAAGAATGTTGTGGTTATTTTCTAGGTTGAATTTTCTTTATATTATGCTGAATTTGTATTGAATGAAACGCACGTAGATTGATTAACTAAAATTTTTTGAAAAAAGGAGTTAGAACAGTTAAGAACTGGGACAACAATTTGTTGATGTTGAAAATTAAGTTTAGATAATATCTTCGTGTCGCGTTGCCTGATATAATACATACGAAATTATTAGTCGGTGTGAACGTGTTAAGATCATCGGTGATTTCATCGATCGATAACGATCTCGACTATTCTGGTCATAATCACCGACACGAAGATTTCTATATCGAATTCCATTGCTGTGCAAGTTAAGCAGTGGCGGATCAAGGAGCCTTCTTACGAGGGTGAGGGGCGAATCAAGGAGCCTTTTTTGGTGGGTGACGGGAGGGGGGGAGGGCACAAAATATGTAAAAGTACAATACATAAATACATTTTTGTAACCATCTTTTACAAGTCTAAGTGACAATGAATATTTTTATGTATAAAAATTCTGAGGGCGGAGGGGGGGGGCGTTTCTACCGCCCTCCTTTGGATCCGCCAGTGAAGCTCAGTCATTATACTCACTGTAAATATGTCACAAACATATTTTTCGTGTGAGTGGTCACACTTGGAAGTCAAATTTTTGGATGGAGAACATGGTAGGTTGGAAAGGAGACTTTATCCTATTCAGGACATCCCGATCATGCGGATCATATCAAGAGGATCATTGTACATACGTTGAAATAGCTGTCAATCGCAGAGCCGAGTAAAATATATACAGGGTGTCTCAAAATAGCTTTAACAGCCAACCCCAAATTGCAAAAATGTCATCCGAGGCTTTGTTAACGAGATATTAACGAAAAAGCGTTGGTTCCGCGTTGCGATTAGTAGCCAACGCTATCGCGGGAACTCGGCCGGCAGATTCGCGCTCTGATTGGTCGGGGTTTTTCGTTAATATCTCGTTAACAAAGCCTCGGATAACATTTTCGCTAAGGAAAAAGTTGTTTCGAATCCTCCCTGGAACCCCTCATTTCTGGGAATCGAAGCTATTTTGGGATACCCTGTATATTCTAAATAGTAAACAATAAGTAGTCTATTTTACATTACACGCAGACAATAAATTTTCTATTCACGTCTTGTCGATCATGATTAAGTAGAACTAGGTAAAATGTAGAGAAGAAATATTCCAAATACTTATTTAAATAATGGACTCTGTACGGTTCGAATAAAATAAGATTTTTAATAGAAAGCAAAATTTTGGGAAATAAAATATTTGTTTCAATAATGCGAAGCGGAAAAATGAAATATTTCCAGCTTGTATTTTAACCCTTCACTGGTTAAGTGAAATCTTATTTCTTATTACATAACCAGTTTTTTTGAATTCACATGCAAGAACTGATCGAAATAAACTAACATCGCTTTAACTTTCCGTAGGCAAACGTATTTTTTCACACACTGTAGACAAACTGGGTCGCATATGCCCAAGCCTAATTTTTTCACTGTTTTAGGCTTTTAAAAAGATCTGAACAAATCGTGGGATATTTATCAAAGTCTTAAATGCATTATGCAACCGTTTGTTAAGTAAAATGTTCAAAACTTTTTTCGATAAAAATAAAATGTATTCTAAGAATATTCATTCAGTTCCTCGGACCATGCTGCACTAGTTGAAGGTTAAATGTGCACTTAAAATATTTCCTGACAATGAGAACAGTGTCAGGGACGAAATATTACGTACAGAAACCATAAAATGACCTATAACAACAAATTAGAAAACCTATATTTATGTACGTGATGAATATACATTACTGTTTTCAGTAAGATTATTTTGAACGTTACGAGTGAACAGACAATAAACTGAAATAAATAAAATTTTCTAGAATAAAGCAGTTCTATTTTCAATGTCGCTCAAATAAAATGTTACCTGAAAAACTTGATGCAACCACGAAAGTAATTTTGTTTTCGTACTTATACGGCGGATTTGAAATAAAATAGACTATTTATTGTTTACTATTTAAAATATACATATATTTAACTAAACTCTGCGCTTGACCGCTATTTTAATGTACAAGGGTCCTATTGGCATGACCAGGGAGTCTGCTGAAATACATAGGGGAAACTGGGTGTAGGTTTGGGTGGTGGGAGGTTTGGGTCAGTTAGTATATTTCTATCCTTGTTACGTATACCTTATTCGCATGTCAATTGTTCATTGTTGCAGTAGTAATCTAAGCGAGAAGTTTGTTACAGTGAGAATTTAGTCTTGTGCAAGTATGAGTACACTTTCATGGTATCTCGTGTTGGTAAAAGTTTTAATAGACGACCTTTTGTCTCAGCATCGATTATACATTAAAAATTGTAACCTAAAAAACGTGGTTCGAGTAACAGAGGTGTACTACTATGAACGTTCGGATGCGAAAGGTATGGATCAGAAGTGTGCGGGAGATTTGAGTCGCATCGAACATCCCCATTTTCTTTTTAACGAAATACTTTCATTACTAATTTTTACATTAAAAATTTAATTGAAAATTTTCCTTCAGTCTTTATTTCATTTATTCATTTCATTACTTTTATATATGTGCATGTATTATCACTTTGTAGGTAATAAATATACTACATACATTAAACTTTTCTATATTCACTGCAAAAACAATACAAAAATTCAGTGACGCATTTATTGTCACTGTCTGACCCAAACCTCCCTCCATAAGAGAGGTATCGGTCAAATAATTACATAGTTTTAGAACTATTATATTTTTAAAGATTCCTTAGGAATAATAAAATGAAAGCATGATGGAACATCGATGGTAAGATCTTACTGATTATAATTCTTCGGACTTAAAGCATGTTTCTCTCCCATTTTAATCACTACTAAAAATGAATTGAAAACTGGCCCAAACCTACCCACTCTCTCCTACGTCTAATGGTGAATGCGATTTCTGGATCAGCTCAATTTGAACTAATGTCTGAGTATAGACGCTGATTAAAGTGTTATGCAAAGACATATCCCTTTCAGTGACGATACTGATTCATCGTAAAGAGTTACAAATTGATTATTCGAAGCTGTTTTCGTCGCTATAAGTCTTGGAACCAATGTAATGAGGTTGTAGATTAAAGTCTTAACACTCAAAGACCATATTGTATTATCCTACCGATTCGACTATACATGGATTGACGTAACCTAGAGCATTCTTTTTGCTTATATCTCAAATGTATAAGTAATTTAGTCAAAAATCTTTTAATAAAACACCACAGCCCTAACTTTCCATCCTTTATTGTTCAGAAATGTCTGGTGTCTTTCGAACTACTTTACCGTAATCTAGTGTGGTCTTTGAGGGTTGAGGGTAAAGTAATAAGATATTCTCATTTAGAGGGTCATTCTTAAGCGATTTTTAGAACGAAAAATTAATAAACCAAGGAACTCGTAGTTTTTCATGTATGTTTGTTCACATTTTAAGAAACTACAGTAAACTTTCTATGCAATTGTCTTTTATATTAACAATATATGCCACGATTCACATGGTCGTATTCATTTAAAACAAAATAATGGAAAATTAAAAAAATCTCTTTGTATCACAGAAAAAGCTCATTCTACTAACACTGATTGTGCGTTTTTTCTCGAGAGTATGTTTTGCAATCTGTGTTCTTCAAGTTCAATGAGAATATTCTGCAGAAGGTATTCTACAATGTAGCGCAAGACCTTTTCGATATCTCAATTATTTATCTTTATCAGAAGCGTTTACAGTTGATTTTTTGTTGTAAAAAGATGTTTTTCCTCTTCAATCTGTCGCCATTACTACAATAATTAAATTTTTTTTAAATCCTACGCTACAATTGTGGGTAATACATTCTTCTTCATAAATCAAAAAACATTTTTTAAAATATGTCGATCATTGATCACCATTTTTTGCGATCAGTGTTCAAGCTACACTACAGAGCCACGTTCCTGATCCTGCTGATCAGCTCGCTTCTGGTGACGTCCAGGCAATACATCGGGGAACATATCAGGTAGAGAATAATCTATCATCCCTATAAAAAGTAAATGATGTCGGGAAATCGCCATTCATCGCTGTCTGTTTTACGGATAAGATGCATCACCGATTCTGGACTAGTGGAAGCAGTGATCAACACTTTCTGTTTCTTCACGTCTACATACACCGTGGTAAATACCAGAGTCCGCTGGATGGAACGTGTTTAGTCGCTTGTAGATGTAAGAGATGGTGAACGATACACTCGCAAGTATTGTAACATCGATCCTGCCATAGGCTGCCGATGTTTATGCAAATTCACAGTTTCGGACACCGATTCGGGAGAACGTGGATCCAACCAAAATTTATTCCCTGCGTTATCTAACACATCTTTCTATCATCTTTCCTGCATCATTTATTTATGTTCATAGCACGGATCGAAATAAACAGTTATCTTTCGTTTTTAAAAAAAATTCTGTTCGAACTTGTATGTTTCGTTTCAGAAAATATCTGCTCCTGTGGAATTTTTATGGGACGAAATGTTACTCTTAGGAGCTACTTTAATGGGTGTTCTCATGGAAGAGATCTTTTAGAATCTATCTATATAACAAAAGTTTCATGGAAACAAGTTATTTTAAAACGTTTATTAAAAAAACTTCCATAGTACAAATAAAAGTACCAAACTATTAGATAGTTTTATTTAACAATATAATATATTATTCATGTGTTTATTTAATGAAAGGTAAGAAAATCAATAATTTCATAAGTACTGAGCAGAAAATGGAACTTGTCAAGAATAATACTTGAATAATACTTTTTTTATAACTTAAATGAATTGAAATACATAGAAATTCTATAATATACTGTATACATAATGTGCATATTTCTATGATAGAATATATGAACACATATTATACATCAGCGTATTATTATAGTATTATCGTATTAATAGAATTATTTAATATTGGTGTAGTACTATTCATTGAATAGTATTCAGTATTTGTTACAATGATTGAGAACTTTTTTAATATTGATAAACAAAATATCTGATCCTGTTATAGAAAAATTTGTATTTTTATATTTTATAAGTTCTATTCAAATTAAAACTTTTATTTATCTATTCTTATAGGAACTTATAATTTTTTTTTTAATAAAATTCCACGGTCCATGTTTTAAATAGAACCTGTTAAAAAGTTCCATAACTTTTTCGATCCCTGGTTCATAGTAATGTGTATACAGGGTGAATCACATAACTTGTCTACACCGAGTATCATTATATAATAATAATATTTATTTTAACGGAAAAATCCATTGGTACAAAGATAGGACGAGTATTAACAAAGACACGTGACTAAAAGATGAAACAAAATAAATACAGTAACAATGGTAGAAATATAGCCATTATTTAAGAGTAATTAATAATTTATGTCTAAATGCGTTTAATGGGAAGTGAAAGAAATCAAAAGATTCATCCAAAATATATTGGCCATCATATATTGGCCATCACTTATTTCGTGCATCAAGTGAATACACTCAATTCTGTTTTCACACAAACCTTTTGTACACGATTTTGATTTAACACAAATTAGAAGAAAATTTTTATTCCCTTTTTACACGATCTGTTTTGATTAAATACGATCGACCCAAAGTCGAAGAAAAAAAAGTTTTCATGAAAGGTTAAATGAAGGTCTTAAAGTGGTCAGTAAATTGGGTAATCGTTTTTCAAACAATGATCCTAATGAAGAACAAACTGGAAAGTTCCAACATGATGTGAAATCATTAATGACTTCATGAATTGAATGCTTTGAATTGATAAATATGAAATCATTAAATCCAGTCAAAACATGTACACAAGGATTAATAACTGAATTCGTTCTTAAAACTACCGAAACATCGGCACCACAAGAAATCAAAGACTAGTGCTAATTTTGTTCAAGAGATAACAGAAAGAATTTCATTAATAGAGCAAGAAGACGATGACCACGATATTTTTCCTCTCTTCAAATGATATTATACTTTATACAATACATTTTTATATACATGTGCAATCTTTATAAAAGAAAAAGTGCAAACACGTAAAAATGATGAGATTCTAACATGAATTTTCATACGGTTTATTGAATTATTTTTGCTGATTTTTTAGGTCTAGAACTAATCTACTTTCCCACAGATACAGTATATTTTTCTACACGAATTGATTTTTACACAAATTCTTCCAGAACGTATCTATCGTGTAACAACAGAATTGCGTGTACTTCCTTTTTCCAATTCCAATCAGATATCTCTGCATTCACACTGTTACCTGGTCGCGGATAGGTAACTTTCATACAGCGATTCAATTAACCCCGATTACTCAACGCGCTTACATATCCGTGTCCACCGTTCAAGAACGGATACCCTGCACCGTGAAATATATGTAAAGTGAAGAAAGAGAAAAAAACAGAAAATGAAAGTGGGCTCAACCCCACGTTCTACTAATTCCCATACCCCTAGGCAACAGGCCACTTTCCGGTAGCTAAAAACCGAGAGGCTACCGTTTACCACCGAAGTCCCTCTCGATAAAGTCACCGAATAAAATGCTTGTTTGATGACGAGCACACGGTGTACCTAACTGTGCGAAACGACCGCATGAATTTTTCAGGTGAAGCACATGAACGCGACGGCGGTCGAGATGGGCGAACTGCCGCATCTTGGTGTAGGGCCAGTTAATAAAAACGACGAGGTCGTGCACCACGCTTACTACCAGTGGGTCCCCTTCATTCTGTTTTTTCAAGCGATCCTCTTTTACTTGCCTCACTACCTGTGGCGGAACGCCGAAGGTCAGTCCCTTTATGTATATACCTATATATTTATATATGTATATATACAGGGTGATTCGAAAGGTCACTCTCCAAACTTAAGAAGCGTATAGAGGAGTCAAAATATAACAACTTTGAATTAATGGAACTCGGGATAATACCAATGATATTCCGAACACATCGAATAATAAGTCCAGTAGATTCACGTTAAAGTAGCGGTAGGAATGCCTCAGCTCACACGCATTACAGACACATGTGCGCGCACCCCGCTATCGGTCGCCATCTGTAACCCAAGTTCTGATCCAATTGATGGATCGATCGAACTACCACGAGTTCTTGCGTGCCCATTGGCTCACGTTAAAGTACCGTTTCCAGGGAAAACCCGCCTCAAGAGGCTCACAGCTTTACTTTAACGTTAGTTTATTGTGCACACAAAGGTGATACAAAATATAGCAACTAAAAGTCACCGTCAACTCGTATACAATCCCGAACAACTTTTGCTCTGGATACTTACAGCATTTGATGTTGTCTAGGAGATGCCCGGAGTATTTGACAGAATGCGTCAGAGTTTTGTTGAACGAGGGCAATGTTTGTGCATTGAATGTGGAGGTCGTCAATTCGAACACCATTTTGTAAATTTAGTTTGTATGTTAATGTAACCCGTAAGAAAATTTGAATAAAAACATGCTAATGCTAGTGAAAGAGTAGCTAATTACGATTATTTTTTATTGGTATTATCCATACATTCAGAGGCCTGTACTGACTCAGGATCAATTCGGGGAACATAGGTTCCTAATCAAAAGTTCCTCTATTTCGACTCTTCTATGCGCTACTTATGGTAGCTCATGCATTTGGGGTCGTATCTAGCTGGGACTTCCTATGGCGCTTTGTACTTTGTATCAATTTTACCAATTTAATTTGAATGATTAATATTTTAACCTACTCCAAAATATTGAAATGGAAAACAAATTTACAAATAAGGGGAAAAAACAAAATTTTTTTCCTTATTGTAAGAAAAATTGAATTTTTTTATTAATTTTTATGAAAAAATTGGAAAGTTCGTTGAACAAAGCAAAAGAAAACAAGTGACGTTGACGCTGATAGCAGACGCACGTAGAAAATACAACCAAACGCACTGAAACCTAATGTTTGCATACTTTGATCTTAATTTTTAGTTTTATTTTTATTTTTAGTAATATTTTAGTGCCATCACAATCTCCGTAAAAAAATGTACAACCACTTAATTTTTATGGAAATGTTATTTTTTGTAATTAAATAACAAGTGATTAACTTCTTAGTATCGACTACAGTTTCATAAGGCTCGTGTTAAAATGAAATTTTTATAACGTTTTTATTTCAATAATTTTATCGTTGATCTTGCGGTTGTTTGGTAGCAATCGAAAATTGAAGCTTTTAAGAATGTTCTGTTAAATTTTCAACTAAATTTATAATTACTAAAAATTTGTGTGAGCCACTTTATGTTTGGCAGTGATCTTTCGAATCACCCCGTATACCTTCAATCCTCACAGATTCCGAGCAGCTTTTTGTTCGCCGGCACCTTCCGCCATCTCCGGGGTACCAGACACCGGTCATAACCTCGCCGCGCCGTGGCCCTTGGTTCAGCTATACAGAGTGTTAATATCGCGTCGGCCAAAAAATTCCTGCGGTTTTTAAGTCCGCTGACGTGGTAAAGTTGTACGCAAACGGTTTTCTAGATTTAATTTTGATACTTGGCGAATTTGTTCAATATCCCGCGTTCTGTAACGAGTATTAATCGGTCGATTAAAAACGTCACTTGGTCGTTGTGAATAATTTCGGTAAATATTGTACATATTTACAATAAGGAAGCCTCCTCCGATTTTGATGATTTTTTAATATGTTCTTAAGGTTGTCACCTTGAGTAGTATTGTGTAGATTTTAGTTGGGGATGACCGCTTGTAAAGAAGTTATTATCAAAAAAATTTAGTATCCTATGTCAGTAGTATTGATAAATAAAATGACCGATGGGCTTGACCTTGACTTATGTTGTCAAGGTGACCCTCCTTAGTGACCTTCAGAAAGTTGAATTATCAAATGTTTATTAAAAAGTTAGAAGAGAACAATGATACCTTTACCTTGAACCGTCTCTAACCAACTCTGAATGATTGTTTTTTATAATAACTCCCCCAAAACAATAGACGAGTTTTTATCATACTTGAAGTGGCGTACCTGAGACCTGGAAAATGCTTTCTTCCAAGTAATAGCAGATATATATCGAATAATTGAACGTGTAAATGAATAAACAAAATAAAAAAACAGAACTTTGCACTGTTGTGTAAATTTTTTGGTAAGTATTTTTTACAACACCTCAAGTAGTTAGAAGCCTGCCTATTGTTTTGGGGGATGATACTTTGTTTTTGTTAGAAATTTTGAAAAAAAATATTGTGTTATTGACCTCAGCACATTGAAATCGGTGAAAAGGCCAAACGTCTAAATAATTATCTACCTAAGCTTTTTTTGATAACTTTTTTATCCCAATTAAAACCTTCCCAATACTACTCAGGGTGATGACTTTAATAACATATATTGAAGAATCATTTACCATAATCTCTCCAGGCCGGCCAGAGCGTGGTACGTTTTGAAACGAAAAATTCGCGAAACAAAATTTCACAAACCATTTATGGCACACAAGTTCTTTGATGGGAATATTTCCGTACATTTTACATAACTTTTTACATGTTTACACCTTTTTTTTTGTTTAAATATTAGAACAGAAAATTGAGCATATCGTAGTGATTGAGCATATTGTAGTTTAATTTCGGCTGACCAAAACGTAATATCAGATTTCTGCAGTAGATTATGCTTTTTTGCTTTTCTATAAATAGCACTGCTTCTAAGTAATAAAATATGGACATATTCTGAAAGTGGACGCTGTATAGCGCCGTTTAAAATAAAACATCATTACGATTGGGTTAAATTTTCTTGAATTGGCCTTGTTTTGAAAACGAGTGACGAGAAGGTGTACTTTCTAGCAATTATGCTTTTTAATTTCCAGGAAAAGGAATAACGCAGATCAAATGACAAAACAGATTTCTTATGTTGATCTTGACGGCGTTGTAAACTAACGGAAATTAAAAAGCATAATTGCTTGAAAGCGCATCTTCTTGTTACTTATATCCCAAACAAGGTCAATTCAAGAAAGTTTAATATAGAAATTTATCTTCTCCGTTGGTTCAAGGTTCAACAAATATTGACTCACAAGTAATGAACTTCTGCAGTATATGATCCTTTTTTTTAATCAATTTAAATTAATTAATATTTGTTGAACCTTGAACCAACGGAGTATTAATTTTTCTGTTTTTTTTTAAACGTTAAATATAGTTAACGTTAGTTAATATTGTTGACGTTACAAAAGAAGTAAGATGTGTTATTCTCTAGTTATAAAAGTGGGTTTCTAACGGATACACATCCTGGAAGGCCACTTTTTATTTATCGTCTTTTTATCGGTATCACTGTGACCTGACACTCAACGGATTATGTCTCCATTTCTGTTGTAATTTCTGGTGTTGTCACGCAACTAATTCGTCTGTAAATATAAATAACATCAAGCAACACGTTGACTGGCCATAAATGTGATAAAATCCCAAGTAATCAGTTCTTGGCCAGCGAGACCTCAAGTTACTTTTTTACGAAAACTGTCACGCTCTACTAAAGATCTTCTAACATATTTCAATCAATTAATATTTGAATTTAAAAAATATTTTTAATTAATCAGCATTACAATTCTTTTTATTCATCAATAATTAATAATAGGAATAATTAGCCAAGCGTTGTCGAATATAATGATCAAATTGGTATCACTTTTTGACAAATTATTTCCAATCGAAGAATTCTGAAGATTTCATCGCTGTTACTTTTCTTAATTTTTTACTTTATACCACTGTCATGAACAAGAATTTTTGCACACGGCGGCTGGTCAATTTCCAACACGAACTTTTGATATGATCTAATATTTGTATGATTTAATATTGTTTTCTCTTTGAGACAAAAAATATCTACTAAATCTATACGAAGTAAAAGAACTTTCACTGGACTAAGTTTTTCCGTATTCTCAAAAGCTACGGAAATCTTGCATTATATTTAATGTGTCTTTATTAACACCCTGTATACTGTACACAATACCGAGAACCACTGGCTACCGAAAATATTTCCATTTTCAGTGACAGATTTAACCTAATTGTTTTGACAATCGTAATGTTAGATCCTGTAAATCACACAACATTTTCCTTCAGCATTTTTTTGTATCAGTAGTACCAGTGAGATATTCTTAATGGGCACATTAACTGGAACACTCTATACAAGCAACAACGTTCTGTTCTTCCATCTTTCGAGAAGTTTGTAAAAAAAGGGTAAACATTTTTAATAAGGGAGTCAACTCCAATTTCGATGATTTTTCACTACGTTATCAAGGTCAACACTCCGAGTAATGTTGTTAAGGATTCAGTTGTGGGTCGCCGTTTGTAAAAAAGTTATCAAAAAAGTTACTTTTCTTCTTGAACTGTCTCTAACCAACTTCGATCAATATAATGCTTCACAGTTGGTTAGACACAGTTCAAGGAAAAAAAGTCGTTCAAAGTTGGTTAGAGATCGCTAAAAAAAAAGTCTAGAGTTGGTTAGAAACAGTTCCAGAAAAAAATTTTTAATGAGTCACATTTCATAATTGAAACTTTCTGAAGGTCACTCAGAGAGTGACCTTGAAAGCATATGTCACGGCCAAGGTCATCGATTATTTTACTTATCCATACTACTAAAGTACGATGTTAAATTTTTATTTGATGATAACTTGTTTACAAACGGCGATCCCCAACTAAAACTTTTACAATATTACTCAGAGTGACCTTGACAACATATTACAAAATCATCGAAATCGGAGATGGCTACCTTATTGTAAATATTTACCAAAAAAAAAAGGATAATGGCAAAGTTAGGTGGAGAAAAAATACTTAAAAGAAAATGTTACGGTTGAAATGATGATAACAGTACGGTTTGAGAAAAAGGAATCAGAAGTTTGTACGGGGGTTAAGTAAAGGATTTCCGCTGGTCCAGAGGGTCGTTTGAAGCAGTTGGTCTCCGGATTAAAACTGGCGTGCTTGGCCTTGAACGAGACGTCTCTGAAGACCGAGAGCATGACCATTCCCTCGATACACGATCGCGAGGAGAAGATCCGGCAGATTCGGCGCGCTTTCATCGAGCGTATCCACTTGAACCGGCCGTGGGCGTATTACTTGGGCCTGTGTGAGGTTCTCAATTTCATCAATGTCCTGATGCAGATTTACGTGACCGACTGGTTCCTCGGCGGTGCTTTCCTCGGTCTGGGCAACGCTTTAGCCGCAGACACGTCCAATGGGCAGCTGGACGTTCTCGATATTGTCTTTCCTAAGGTATGCTCGACGACAGACACAACCATCGAAACCCTCGATGATTAAATAAGTATGATTTAACAGCTTATGATCATTCTGAATCAGTTTCCCCTGTTGTTCATCCCTGTCACTTCGACGTAACATAACCTCACTGAAATTCAAAATTTCATTTAAGCTTTGCATCGCGTTTAATACAGTAATGATCGAGCAGCAAATTTTCAATTTCAACGAAATCAATTCGTTTCGAAACAAACGATGTAGAGGCACGAAAACGTTCGGGACGATCGTGATTAATTCTCAGAAACGTTTCAGGTGACCAAATGTATATTCCACAAGTACGGTCCTTCCGGGACCATACAGCACCACGACGCCCTCTGCGTGATGGCGTTGAACATCGTCAACGAGAAGATCTATGTGTTTCTCTGGTACTGGTTCATCATTCTCGCAGTGATAACCGGTTTAGGATTGGTGTGGCGGATACTGACCATGCTGCTGCACGCCAGGTTACTACTGTTTACCGTCTACTCCCGCGACTATGTCGTCGTCGGTTATAACCATTTCGGAATTATTCCTCCTTTTTCCCCGGCAACATCGACCGCGAACGATCGAAACATGCGTCCGTTATAGGTACATTTCCCAAAGTTATTGAATAATCATGTTGCGTTTCGTAGGAGCACCCTCTTCAACAAGATCGTGTTTCAAATGGCCTGCCCAGGGAGATACAATCCATGGAACGTGCTCACTGTCACCCACGAGTGTCACTTCGGGGACTGGCTGTTTCTCTATTATATAGCGAAGAATCTGGACAATTATATATTCAAGGAACTTCTACACAAATTGGCCGAGGACATGCAAGCCAGGCAAGAAACCCTCAAACGTCCTCTCACAAAGGAGGAGGAACCGTTGACCAATTTAACGCAACAAGCAGAACACAGCTTCGTGTCTTAACCTCCTTAACCGGACTTTAACTTTGTAACCGTACTTGTCATGCACAAGTGGGCCCGAGAAATGACTGACAATATATGCTGCCTTGGTTTTTGCCAATGCTGTTCACGAGCTTGGGCCATTTATGTTGCCCAGTTCCTCGTCCACATACCGTCGTTAAGAAAGACAGATAACACCGTTCAACAAAGTTTACCTTTTTTTCGGACTTCTAACATTTAATAGCCATTTCTTATAGATTTTTCTGCCCCGAATACGAATCTGCTCATCAAATTTTTCACTTTGAACATTTCTTGCGTTTTCAACAAAACGTGAACTTACTACTTTGTTGATGTTTTCCGAAAACTTCTAACATTTAATAGCCATTTCTTATAGATTTTTCTGCCCCGAATACGAATCTGCAAACAGTTTTTCGCTAGTACACTCAGTCTTCGACAAATTTGATATTGAAAAAAATGCAAATTTTCCACTTTGAACATTTCTTGCGTTTTCAACAAAACGTGAACTTACTACTTTGTTGATGTTTTCCGAAGGAAAAATATTTGCTTTATTACATGGTGCAGTCAGATTTGCTCCTGGACCCTTATTTTTTTAAATACAGTGGAAAATATCTACACAAATTGCTGCATTTTGGGTCTCCTTTTTCCTTTGATCGTTGCTTAAACATGTTTAAATGTTTATATTGCAATAACAACATATACCATCTTATTTGAGAGAGTTTAAAAAATATTTTGACGCAACAATCAATGGAATAACTATTACTGTTTGAACACTGGAAACGTTCAAAGTTGAAAATTGCATTTTTTTCAAAATCAAATTTCTCGAAAACTGAGGGTGCTAGCTGAAAATCATTTGTGGATTCGTATTCAGTACACAAACGTCTGCAAAAAACGGGCACTAAATGTTAGAAGTCCAGATGGCTAGCTGAACAGTGATAATTAAAAGGATAATGAAAGGATCCTACATTTTCAACACGTATTATTAAAACAGAAGTTGATTTGAACAGAGGCTAATTTTTGCGGGAAGTGATCTCATTGGCTCATGGTATGTGTGGCTTATCGTCAGCCAGCACCTTCACGCCAACTAAACGATGGTGGAATGCTCGCCAAGCTCCGTAGTTTCGCCTGTGCGGTCCTGATTGACGCGGTTAATAATATGTCAATTTACTGCATGGTTTCTAGTTTTGCAGGATATCGATTTTCACAGATGGAACGTAGTTATCACTATGGTACGTATTTAAATCATTGTATACATTGTCAATTAAGAGTTCCATACCTAATCGCACTTCTTATATATCAGGCATTGTTTGTGTTTGTAATTATTTAGTCGGTGGGAAGTACACGGCCTGTTGACATTCATGTTTGCAACGTGTTATAATTCTGTGTACACTGTTCAAGACAATCAGAGAATTATATAAGTATTTCGGTCAATGTTATTACGATCTACAAGCGTTTTAAAGTTTAAAAAAAAAAGGAAAACTAGGTGTTAGTGTCACATGAAAACAGGTGTATTTATCAAGTTAACCTATAGCATTTGTTTCGATACTTTCACTCGATTAGCGATCCTCTAACTGTTTTGAGCAGCATTGCTACCATACATGGATCAAAATATTGTCCAGAATTCACTTGAATTGTATAAAGCTTAGCTTTCATCGTGCTACAAAAACAATTGTTGAATTTCTACATATTTTGTAATTTTAACAGATACAATAGTATTTTTGACGTATTCAAATCGCGATTAATTACATTTACGCCCGATTTATTCTAATATTATCTTGTATATTAATTGTACCAATGTTTTGACGAAGTGAGTAGAGATAGGTAAATACTGTTGCCACATGTTTAACCGATTTCTATTTTATTTTATTCATTAATGTAAAATCGTATAAATATTGTGTAACGGTTTTTAGAGGTGATTTTACACTTTTCGATCGGTTGGGATTTTCGAAAATAATGATTGGAATAACGACTCACGATCGATTTCAATGATCTTGAAATATGTTGTCAAAGCCATCATTCTGAACAACTTTTCCCTGTACAGAGTCCTCTCGATTATTGTCCCTAACTCGGGTCCGCGACGATATTGTGAACTACGCGAAACGCTTCTGACACTCGTGAATACGTTTTTTGCTCGAAGCTCGAGCCTCAGCAATTCGCCTTTGTAGTATTCCGAACGTAGAAAAGGACGTATCATGGCTCAAGGTTCAAACATTCAGGATTTGAGCCTGTAGGGGTTGATTTGCGACTCGAGCTGTTAAAGCTCGAGACTTGAAGGTCATTTTGACAATACTAACTTGAACAGTCGATTCCAAACTGATACATGGGATCGATCGAGGACATAGTTGAAGTTATGAATGAAACAAAATCAAATGATTGAAACCAACTCCTGTAACAATTGAAGAGTGCATTCCTCAAATTGAATAACCCGCCGTGTCAAACGTACTTTAGTGTTTCGCTCGTATTTTCAACAATTAATAACGCGGAAACAAAGCATCGAACGCAATTTTGTCATTCTTGATTTCCGTCTTAGTTTTGCACGTAGAATTCACTCTGTGAAAGTGTCTTGAATTTTCATGAACACCCTATATGTGATGTGTTCAAATATGTTTGGACAGGAGTGTACATTTCTTGTATGAGAACCTCTCACTTAGATCAAATTGATTTGGTCGATCAAATTTAATGTCTACGGATATAGACTACGCGTTTTCTACACGTATGACGCAGTCGTGTATGTAAACTGCAAATTCATCTAGAAATTCATCAACAAGAATTAATGGTGATTCTGTTTTATTTTTAGTTTAAGGGGTCATTCTACTTTGACAGCCGAAAAAGTTAAGCTGTGTTTAGGAATTTTTTTCGCATTAGATACAATATGTAATCAAATGCATCTTGTTACTGTTTATTGATCTATTTATAAATACAGTAAATCCTTCATAAGAGTTGGATAGGAAGTTCGTCGTGAAAGTTTCTATTTCATCCCCACTGGTGGAGCGTAGGGGGAAAGGCTGTGGAACCTGTCAAGCGCATAATTTATTGCCCCCCTACCCCCTTCCCTTTCATCTTTGGTTGCTGAAATTCGGACTTCAGACAAAACATATATTTGTGAGGTGATGAAACGATTCGCAGTGCATCATGAAATTTTTCAAGCGGTCCAGAGTTTCAAGTTCTCATGGAGCGTTTACTGTACTATTAAAAAGTTTCAAAAATAATTTTATTATATTTTGTCTTAAAGTTCTTCTTAGCATGAAAGTGACATCTTAAAAAAAGGTACCACCATGGCGCAGGTGTTTTCTCAGATCCGATTCATCAGATGCAACAAATTCAAGAAGATTCTTAATTCCTATGAGTGTCACTATCACGGGAAACACAATAAATAATTTATTTTAAAAAATAAAAAAATGGCGCGGGTCCAATAGAAAAATGAAAGAAAAATACCTTTTTTCGGTGATTGTGTTATGTAAAAAGTATGATAAATTGCAAATGCAAACATTACTGTGTTTCCTACGATGGTAATACTCATAACAATTAAGAATCTTCCTGAATTTTTTGTTTCAGATGAGTCTGAGCTGAGAAATCACCTGCGCAATGGAAATACATTTCTTTGAGATGTCACTTTCATGCTAAGAAAAAACTTAAAACAAAATATAATAAAATTATTTTTGCAATTTTTTACTGTTAGTTATAAGTAATTCAACAAATACTAACAAGATGCACTTAATTACATATTGTATTTACTGAAGGAATAATCCTTAAACATAGCTTAACTTTTTTGGTCATCAAAGTAGAATGACCCCTTAGCGAATTCTTCGATCGGTGAATTAAATTTCTGTTTTTACAATTGTTTTTCGTGAGTTTATGGAAATGGAATAATTTAAATATTCATTATCTGTTTAGCTGTCAGCATCTGAGAAATCCACAGAAACCTTACGTCATCGTGTTTCCTGTACCGCATTCATCTCTGCATCACGCTTGTGGAATTCTCGATTAATCTCAGAAATGTTAGAGACTGTAGTCTACAGTAGAATCATCGATTGTCGGAAACACTGATCATCTCGGATTGACCGATTATTATCGGAACACTGAACACTCACGAATAACTAATAAGTACCTAACATTCATTTTTCATGACTGTTTTCTAATCGTTTTCTGACTAACACGAATCACTCAGAAGCAAAAATTATCACTGTTTTTAAATTCAGCTTGAATGTATTATTGAAAAAGTCACTCTATACCATGCCAGTACATACGAGGCGTGACAATAAAGTTTCAAGAATAATTTTCTTGTCACGCCTTGTATGCAGTGACCATTGTATGGAATGACAATAAATTTTCAAGAATCAGTTTGTTCCCGTTAAAATGGCAATAATGTTAACAGTTACATTGACCGTACCAGAAATATTCCCGAAACTTTATTGTCATGCTTTGTACGTAGTGACATTGTATGGAATGACAATAAAGTATCGAGAATAACTGTGTTTCCGTCAAAATGATAACTACGTAACCTGGATTACGCCTTATCACTCGAAGCCTGACCCCCCCCCCTTTATGTATCTGCATGCGAAATATAACATTGTCAACGTGTAACGTTTTAGCCGTGCAGGGTTGCCAGATTTTTTATGATATATTCGCAAATAGAGTAGTCTAAAATGTCCTAAAATTGCAATAGTGCTGTCATAAATGTTTTGAAGGTGCTGTTAACGCGAAATGTTGAAATTAAAGTACTTTTTTTCGTATGATACATTCAAAAAATAGACATATATACTATAGGCATTCGTTTATTGCATTTTTCGGGGCTGTAGAGGGCCCCAGGAATGATGCAATAAACGAGGGCCACAAGGCAATCAAGGGGTCTACATTAAACGAATGTCTACTGTAATAAATATATATGTATATGAATAATATACATAAACTCGAAGTCTCCCGATTTACGACTTGCAATTTCTCCGAAAACTTCATCGCAATTGTAGTACAAAAGTCGCCTAAGTTGCGATAAATCGCCCAATCTGACAACACTGATTCCGTGACACGTGAAAAATGGAATCATGTCAATGCTCCCTGTAAATTCAGTCATTCTAGCGAAAGACTTTTTAAATTTAAAATCGATCGTCGGAACACGGCCCGTATTTGCCTGATATGTCACATGTCACATGTCTCCTCGC